CTACACGTGAAAATTTAGCAATGAAGTTGGGCAATATCATAGGAGTTAAAAATGAAAATGTTCACGATGATAAAAAGGATGAAAATCTAAACATTTGCTTTAATTTTTATGAATGAAGTTTCATGAGCACGGAATCTAAAAAAAAATTATACAATTGCCTTTGAAACATTTTTATTTCTCAGTTAGGCGCAAAGCATGTAGTATGTTAGTCAGTGGTGGTCTTTGCAAGGAATCAATGCCTATTTGAACATGTCTCTTATAATTTTTTAATCTTTAAACTAGCAATTTTTTACAGCAACAAAAAACTTGTCCTATAGTTGTATAAATGGCCTTTTTTGTGCCTGTTCATCTATCTAATGCTCTTTGCTAAAAAATTCTACGCTAAGTTTATCTCAAAGAGCAGAGGCATTATAAGAATCTACTTTACTACCTATTTAAAAGAAGGAACGATATCATGAAAACATTCTATATGCTTCAACTCTGCTTCCATTAGTTGACACACAAAGTCTGATGAAAGCTTTTGCTTTGAAGTGCAGAGCTTTTCTTTATTATTTAAGAAATAGATTGTTTTTAGCCAAGATTGAATTTAAGGAGGATGTACTCCCACTATGTCTTAAAACGGACATGCCAAGACCCTATCGGTTATCTATACCCAATAAGGTTTTATTTCCTGGTACAGTTTTCTCATTTCGTGACTGTACATTAAACAATTCTTTAAGATTAGATGGCTAATAAGGGCTCCTGATTTGGAACCTGCAAACCTTCAAAAGGAATTGATTTACCAGTTAGTGATCTTGTAACTATGCGCCTTCTCATACCTCCAACAATGTATTATTAGCCATAACTACCATCTTGAATGCCCTGAATTTCCATATGAATTTTAAAAGGTGAATAAATTTCAAAATGGTCATTTCAACTTTTTGAAATAAATGAAATTTAATTTTATTTGATAATATTTTTACATAAGAATAGCAAGAGAAATAGTTTGGACTGCCCATCTTTATTTAGGTTGATATTCAGTAACACCATGGGCTTTCATAGGTGACTATGCTTCTTAATAGTAGATTATATCACAGGTGCTTGAATTTTACTACAGGACTTGACATGGTGGCCAGGGAGGACCAACCGGTTCGGTCCTGAAGGTAGAGAGGCTTCCATTCCTCCCTTTCCCTTCTCTCCCCCTCCCCTCTTTCTTTCTTTGCACCTTCCTTATCTAAGCTCTAAATCAGAATTTCTAAATATTTTTCTTCCTCTTTCCTAAATTAAGATATTTGATTTTATTCTTCCTTCTTGTTTTAAAAACCATTTATAAAATGTAAATTCTGATTTTATTCTTCTTATTTTACAATGCCTTTCCTAGAATTTGAAATTTGATTTTATTCTCTTTCTATTTTAACTATTGCATAAAATAAAGTTCTAGCCTAATTGTAAATAGAGGATTCTTATTTTTGATATGTGAATTCAGGTTTTATCCTTTGTATATTCCCTTCAAAGGTTGTATCTGACGTCGAGGTAGTGCTCCGGTCGTCCCTCGTCCGAGGCGGTGATCATCTTCAAGGGCTTGAGTGGTGCTCGTTTTATAGTTTAACTTCGACGAGACATTTATCTTATCATACTTCCATTTCCTTGCTGCCTTCCACTGCTGACAGCCACCTTCTTGGTCCCGTCCAACCATTGTAGCCCCTCCAACTTGCTGTCCAGCCCTTCCCTAGAGTGCGCCGACACCCCTACAACAGCTACCTTACTTTCCCGGCCTTTCACATCGCTGCAAGTGCTTCCCTACTAGCTGTTCACTCTTTGAAAGTGTCGACAAACCTTCCTAGCCGCCATCCTACTTCTTCCACAACAACCTCAACCTCTCTTGCCTTCACCGCAGCCGACGATCCAACCTCTAATGATGTTCCTGCTTCTCTCCAGCTGCAGTTCGATACCGTTACTATCGCCAACCTGTTGTCCTACTTCTTCCAAAGCAGCTCCCACCTCTAATGGTCCAAACTTCACCGCACCGCCCAATCTAGCCTCTCCTCGTTAGACTCCCTCATCAAGCATGTTATGTCTTTTTAGTTGAGTCATTAGTTGTAATTCTTTGTAATGGTATCTCCAGCTGCAGTTCGATACCGTTACTATCGCTCCCACCTCTCCCACCACGTAAATTCTCCCACCTCTAATGATGTTCCTGCTTCTCTCCAGCTGCAGCTCCCACCTCTTCCAAAGCAGCTTCTTCCAAAGCAGTTCGATACCGTTACTTCGTCTTTTTAGTTGAGTCATTAGTTGTAATTCTTTGTTTTGTGCTTTTGTTTTGTGTGTTGCCTTTCGTTAGTTCAAGTTTTCATTGTAACTTTGTTTTAAGTCAATAGTAAAATTGTGTCTTGCATCGTGATTTGGATTAACTCCGATATCATTTGATATCAAAACTAGCCCAACTCTAGTCTCATTCTAGGGTTTCTAGCATCCGCCTCTACCCAATCTGCCACAACAATTCTTTTATTTTATTACTTTCTTTCTTTGTTCCTTCTTTATTTCCTTCCACAAATCCTAAACCATAACCATGTCACCAAGGAGATCTATGCCCGAGCTTACCCGAGACGAGATATGGCTACTGCTCCGTCGACTTCAACGAAGGCTTATGGATATTGAAGAGGAAATCCAGTGGGAGGATGCTCTCGATCGTGATCTGGAAGTTCAAAGGAAAAAATGAGAAAATAAAGATGAAGCGAGAAATACATCACCAGTTCCTACCAATTTACTACTTGCAAAAGTGGTAGACTCTAGCTTACAAAGTAGAGAAACTGTATCACCAAGCGACTCCCCTTGCTACTGTCCAACAAAACTAATTTGCAAGTCTGTCACAACCAGAAGATATTGCAAGTGTCATGGATTTGGACATGTTGAAGTAGAATGCACAATCAAAGGAGTGTTCTACTTCACTAAGCAGAGCATCATCAAAAAATTGGGTAAAGACATCGCAGATACTGAAGAGCAGTTCAAACAAGAATCTTCTTCCGATGACGTTTTTCCGCAAGGAACCCCTTTGTTTGTGGATACATCCAATGCCTTTCCTCCATGTGATCAAAAGGAACATGTGAATTTTGATGAGATGTGGTTCTTACTCTCCTGGAGGATAGAGAACTTTTTTTTGAGACATAAAATTCACGCGGACTAGAAGATGTCAGAATTTAAAATTTTAGTGGATGTTCTTAGTAACGACCAATTGATAGCATCACAGGTGGCTACATTTCCAACCCTCTACCCCATTATTATGTATGAAGAGACGAAAGACTAGTGCGACGCTAACAGATGATGTTAGTTTTCCAAAACTTTAAGTGTCGGAGGGAAGACCCGAAAAATAATAAGAATTACAGTTCAACCAAACCCTTGCAAATCCTCAACCACGTTGGGCCCAACTTGTCATAGATGAGAAGCATATGAGGTATTTACTTGTTCAGAATATGGCTGGGAGAATTTACGTGGTGGTATACTTTGGGCTCAGATTGTGCCAAATCAGAACGGTTCGATAGTGAGTTCATGTTTTTATTTTTCATTAATCCAAAAGCATCTTGCTTCTCCAATTTCAGTTTTTGCTATGTTGCACTTCATGGTGTTGCTATGCCAAATGGATTTTTATTGAAGAACATGATGCAAAAGAAAGCTCTCTGTAAAATTGCACTCCTATGGAAGACTTCGGTGGGGGCCATCCAAACCCTAACCTAACTTATGCCATGAAATTAGTTGTACGGATGGGATTGGGCAAATCAGAATAGTAAGTTGAAACCCCTGTGTTTGGTGTAGCTGCTGATGGTGATTCTAATCGTAACGTGATACCTGGTAAAAGGCTCTTTGTGGCTCCGTCTGATTTTGTTGCCATCATCGCTGTTGACGCTGTTTGGTTTATTCCATTCCTTACTTTTCTTTTGTGTTGAAGGGTGTTGCCAGGAGCATGCCAACCTCTGCAGCGCTTGATGTTGTAGCAAAGGATCTAAATCTAAATTTTTTTGAGGTGCCAACTGGATGGAAATTCTTTGGTAGCTTGATGGATGATGGACTTTGTTCAGTTTGTGGTGGACAAAGCTTTGTGACAATTCAGATCATATTCGTGAGAAGGATGGGATCGGGCAGCCTTAGAATGGCTTTTTATTCTTGCTTAGAAGGGCAAGGACAACCTCAATGGGGGAAATCTAGTGACAGTAGAAGACATAATTCGCCAACACTGGGATACTTATGGTTGCCAGTGGGATCCAAGGGTGGCTGACAACGACACGAAAGCTTTGACCTATAACGTCGAAGCTTCCCAAACTCTGGGAGACTAACGCGGGGGCTATGGAGGACCAACCGATCCTGAAAGTGAGGAGGGCTGC